GTTACACTGGGGGTTGGGAATAGGAAAGCTTTAGCAATGCTGAAAAGATGAGGGTTTCATATAATTTGTTTTGCCTAATAACATGATGCTAGGTTTTATGCTTTGCTCATCAACATCAAAAGGTGAAAATTTTGACTGACCTCAGTACGCCAACATATAGGGGAAAATGTCATCTGAACTTTGATTAGCCAAGATATAAGTTCAGTGCGGTTTAAGACAACGAATTTGGCTAATTCCCAAGAACTAGAGACAAAAGTATTATTTGCATAATTCAAGTATTTGCAACTTGTTTTCCCTACAATGGACACTAAATATAGTATTTCTTTGTGGATATTGGTACACTAGAAATCTAGTATATTGTCTGTAAGTGAAATTTTATTGCTTTCTTTTTATTATAATTCAAAACTCTATCTATCTATCTATCTATCTATCTATCTATCTATCTATCTATCATCTATCTATATCTCAAACTCCAGATTTCCATTTTCCTTTGAACTCTTGGCATCAACTTCAAATTTCATTAGTTGTGGATATGAAACTTTTCAGACTTCCACTAAGGAATTTGCAAATTTGGGTAAGGTGTGTGTGTGTGTGTGTGGTGGGGTAAAGCAGGGAAAGCAGTGTATTTGATTATTGATGTAAACCATTCCAAAGGACGCAATAGGTTTGACAGGTTTTAGATCATATCTTTCATAGACTTGATTATCACTTTGTCCAACCCATCATATTCAAGTCAGCCCACTCATGATGAGATATTATTTTCAAAGCTCTCAAGAGCATAATGACCTTCAATCCTTTATTATTTATTCCAGACTTTTACACCTCTGAGCATTTTAAACACTTTGCTTTAGTATTACAATCGAGGGGAATACACATAAGGGGAATAAAAACCTTTGCTGTAGAAGCAGTTTCTCTGGAGCACATAAATTACCCTCTCACTCTTCTAGACTTTTTAATTGCACAAATATTTCTCTACTATGCTGACAAACAGTACTAAAGAATACAAAAAAAAACATCTTGATTCCCACAAGAATGGCAATCTTTGACTATGATTCCATGATCTCCACCTGCATTTCTGTTCAGTTAAAGCTTCTCTTATTCTCACATTGTGTCTTGACACTTCAGTTTGTGCCTTTCATTCAACCTTAAACTTAATTATCATAGGCAGCACAACAGTTAATGTATATTTTAACTTTATTGAATAAGTAAGCATTACATGTAGGTTGCAAGTCATTCTTGGTCCTGCTTAGAGACAGGTTTTTATTCCCAGGCAAAATGAGAACACAAATTAATTTTTTACTGCTACTGAAATACTTTTGCAAGGTGGCTTGGTATGGACACAATCTCCCTCAATACCCATTCATTGCAGTCTTTACTTGCACTTCTCCCTTCATCTGAGGGATTCACAATATATAAAATATACTTGTAAATAACCTTTCTGTATCAGAGGTAGTTTTGTGCCTGCATTATAAATCACAGAAGACATCTGGTCAGATACACCATAGAAAGGGCAGAAAGTACACCAGAGCACAGTTGAGATCACTGATTTTTTCTTCAAGCTAACTGGCCTTAGTGGCAAAAGAGTGAACCAAAATTTAGAATAACTTTTTCACCCACTTAAAACAAAGCATGCAGTAACCTGTGTAGATAACAGCCTTAGAGACAACCTTAACTTTTGCTTGAGCACCAAGGATGCATTTTAAAAAGTGTTAAGTACATTTATGTGACATAACTAGTGTAGTGGCTGAATGATGACCCACCCAAAAAAGATATGCTCATGTCTTAATCCACAGAATTTGTGAAATTATATTATTTTGAAAAAGGGGTCTTTGAAGATGTAATTAAATTAAGGATCATCAGATGAGGAGGTTTTCATAGATGATCTGGGTAGGTCTTGTGGGTGGGCCATAAATGCCATCATAAGTATCCGTAAAAGACGGAGGCAGAGGTAGATACACAGAGGGGAAGATGATGTGAAGACAGAACAAAGAGTCACAGCCACAAGCTAAGGAACAATGATGACAGCCAAAAAAAAGAGAGGAGAGAGATAGAGAAAGAGAGAAGATGAAACAAATTGTTTTTCTCCTGGAGCATTCAGAAGTACAGCCCTGTCAAAATCTCAATTTTTGGACTTCTGCAATCTAAAACAATAAGACAATAAATATTTACTCTTTTAAACCATAGTGTCTGGGGTAATTTCTGAGAGTAGCCACAGGAACCTAATATGAATTTTGGTACTAGGAAATGGGGTATTGCTGTAATGAATATCTAAACTGAGAAAGTGGCAGCAGAATTGGACAATGGATGGAGGCTGGAAGAACTTTGATGAACTCAACAGAAAAAGCATACATTTCCTCAACAAGACTTTTGATAGAAATATGAATACAAAGACACATGATGAGGGCTTGGAAGGAAATACAGAAAATGTTATTGGAAACTGGAAGAAAGGCAATTCTTGATATACAATGTTATACAGAAAGATTATCTGAATTGACTCCTACAGTTGTGTGTGAAGCGGAGCTCATACATGATGAACCTGAGTATTTAACTAAGATTTGCAAAGTGTTGGAGGTATGGCTTAGTCACTTCTTGGTATCTACAGTAAAATATAAAGGAAGGAGATAAACTGAAGAATGAACTATTAAATAAAAAAAGAATGAGCACTTGCTGGTTTGGGATATTCTAAGCCTATCCAGATTGTAATAGACAGCAAGATAATATTTACTGTTAGGAAAGTGCTCTAGAGATAAGGCCTAGCATGCGGCTGGACAACCTTTGGCTAGTGCTGAAGGGATTAAGTGTGGATTCATTTAACCATCTCAGCAGAAACCAGGAATAGAGATGAGCTTATCCAGGACAGATGTGTAAGGATCTTATTTTCTAAATGTGTGAAATCAACATGACATATATGGGAGCCTCACGAGGTTTTTGAAAATGTTATACCAACAGGAACCCTTCCAGCATGTCCTAAAAGGATCACAAACCAGACAAAATGAAAGAAGTCTGTCAAACTACCAAAATTCTACAGGCAGAAAACAGGCTGATGAAATAGCTGCAAACATGTGCTACCTTTCACCGTAAAGGAAGGGTCATCCCAAAGCTAGAGGTATAGGTGCAAAGAGAGAGACCTAAACATGGGAACAGAGACAGAAATATGAGCCATGGATACACAGGCAGTGGTCCAATCCATGATCCAAGAGGGAAGAGCGACAGACCCAGAAGATGAAGCCCTGAGACACAGAAGCCTATTGCCAGGCCGTGAAACCTAAGGAGCATCTGTCTGGCTGTTTTTTGAAAATGATTGAAACAGGTGACTTCGTTTTGCTTTCCATTCTCTCTTTTTTGAAATAGCAATGCCTGCAATTACTATCCCATGCTCATTTCACTATTGTTTGCAAGAGAACAACTTGTTTTATTACACTTGTTCACAGATGGAAAGGGATTTTGCCCTAGGATGACTCATACCCAGAGTTTTACTCATACTTGATTTAGACAATGGGATTTGGGAATTTCAAAATGATATTTGGATGAAATTTTGGACTTTAGTGTTGAAGTTGTGGCAGACTTGCTGGCAAATGCCTCTATCTCCAGCACTTGGGAGGATGAGACAGTAGGATCACCATGAGTTTGAGGCCAGCCTAAACTATGTAGCAAGACTTGTCTCAAAAAACAAAACAAAACAAAAACAAAAACAACAATAAAAAAGAGTTGATGTTGTAATAGGTTGAAACTTGGGAATATTCAGATGGGGTGAATGTATTTCACACATGAGAGAGATCATAATTTGGGGTTAGGGCCAGAGCATAGACTATATGGGGATGAGTGTGACTTCCAAAAAGGTTTGTCAACATCACAATCCCCAGAACCTATAAGTGTTACTTCATTGGGAAAAAGAGTGTTACAGAAGTAATGAAGTTAAAGATCACAAGATGAGAAGATTAATCTGTGTGGTCCCTCAGTGTCAGCATAAGTATTCTTTTTTTTTTTTTTTTTTTGTACCAGGAACCGAACTCAGGGCCTTGCGCCTACAAGGCAGGCAGCGCGGAACCACTGATCTAGATTCTCGAATTCCTGGCCCAGCGTAAGTATTCTTATGTGAGAGGCAGAAGGAGATGAGGCACTCAGAGCAGAAGGTGCCGTGAAGATGAGCAGAGAGAAATGTGGCCATAAGGCAAAGAATGACAATAGCCACCAGAAGCTAGACAAGGAAGGAATGATTTTCCAATAGAGCTTTTACAGGGAGCATGGCCCTGCCGGATTGCATCTAGTTTTCAAGCTTCCGGCCTCCAGAACTGTAAGAGAATTTCAATTGTGTTAAGCCACCAAACTCGAGGTCATTACAGCAGCCAAATGAAAAATACAACTAATTAATGCTTTAATAGTTTTGTACTTACGTTTTTTAACATTTTAAAGAAAATCTGCAAAAATGATATTGCTTATGGGTAGCAGTAATAAACAAAGGAGTTTAGTATAATTTGGATCTATACTAAAAATGTCACTATATACTCTTTTTGGTCATATATTTCAATCTAAAAGAAAACTGCCAGGTAGCTAGAACAGGACCATTATAAATCTGATAAGCAAATTCTTTTAACTTCATTATTGAACCCTGAAAGGCTTTTTAATGTGTTTGAAAATCATGGTGGATTGCTTTAAACACAAATATATAGCTTATCAATAATAGCTCTTCATTCATTCTTGTTCACAAATTAGAAAACAAGGTAAGCTCACACCTGGAAAAGGCAATACACATCAGTTTTTCTTCCTTGACCAGCTTGATAATATGGAGTGGAAAATGTCCCAAATTTCAGTAAGGATTTACATTTCAAAATCATTTTCATACAGCTTAAAAAGCTATTCAAAGTAGATATATTATGAAGATTTCAGAAAAGACTTTGTAAAGTCAAAAATGCACACATTATATAAATTAATAAGACCTACAGATTTGTTTTTGCTAAAAAATAGTGTGTGAAATGGCTACGTCCTTAAATGTTTGTGTTTGTGCGTAAATGTTTTAAGATAAAAAAATAGGAAAATTTGACATATCATTACTTTTAAATTTCTCTATTGTAGCATCTTCAGATGAAGAATAATACCCAAGTTAGAATGCACCAGAAAAAAGGCAACAATTTAAATTATTATACATCTATATATAGGAATCTGTGAAATATTGGTCACTTGTTTATGTTATCCCATAAGATAACTTACCAAGACAAAATTGTATCTTTGCTCTGAATGCTTATAATGTACTTTGGAGGAGCGGAATTAGGATTTTCTACCTAAGAATTATATATAAGAAATATTTCATAGTAATCATAATCATCTGCATGAATTAGTCTTAAAATTGCCTTCCAAAAAAGTTATACCAATTATTTCAATGAATATTTTAAAATAATAGATAAGTTAACTTTTATTCTCTCATCTATTTAAGCAAAATATAGAGCTTATTTTTCTTCTCAGAGTTGTTTTGTTAGCATCATTTAAATGTGTTAATACTTAAGTTAGCATGATGATGATTGAGAAGCTTACTTAATTGCTGTGCTCTATGTATGATTTAATTTTCTTCTTCAAATCATCAAAGTGGAATTGGAAAAGGGAGTAGAAGGGGACATGAAACCATTGACCTTTTTGACAGTTTTCTGCTGCCTCCTGCAGAAAGAAATCTCTTTCCTTTCAAGTCTTCTAGAATTCTATTCTCTGTTCAAGGAAGAAAGAAGCAGTAGAGAGACAAAACAAACCACAGAATAGGAAACAGTATTTGCCTTTGAAAGCAAAGTAAAGACGTAAAGAATGTTCAGATTCATCCCTAGCATAAACATTAAAATGTGGAGTTTTTCTCAAAAATAGCCATATAAAGTATTTGTATAAAGTAGATATCTATGCATAATTAGAAAATGCCTCTTTAAATAAAGTTTAAGTCATTTTCCCTAACTGATTCTGTTAAACTTTGGTTTATTTTTAGCAGTGAGAAGTGTCTGCAATATCATGCTGAAATGCTACACTAATGATAAGTGTAATATCAGCCAAAGCAGATGAATCCATCAGCTTTCACTTGAGATAAGAGTCTATATAACTGGACTGGGGTGGAACAGTAGATTTTTAATTTTCAAAATGGCTTCTCCTATAATGTGGGCAATATTAGCACATTCCCAAATCATTGACAAGCAAAGTTTTCTTTGACTTTTTTTTTACATATATAGTAAAGTTTATAAGCAGATATTAAATAATTCTTTCTGTCTATTCTTTAACTTCTCTTCTTTTTCTCTGTTGGGAGTGACCTAGAAATTTAAGATTTCAAATTTTTATAATAATATGTTTGAAAGCCTTAGAACTCACTCAATTTCTGTCATTTGCATCTTGAAAATCAGGTCAGACACAACAATAAATAATACATATTTTTACACTAAAGTGGAACAAACATTTAATAATCCAGACAACCATGTTCAGATTAGTATAAATGTTGGAAGAATCTTGCAACAGCTTTACAAATTCACATTACTTCATTCAGCTTAGCTTGACCTTTGCAGAAATACACTTATTTCTATCCTTTGAGTGCATGTTTTGTTCTTCTTAAAATGAATGATTTTGTTTAAATGTTTTCATATTCTTTGGCATTAGGAATCACTTAGATGAGATTGCTCCATTGTGGCGTGAGCGTGACCTTTCCAAAGGTACTCGCCTGTTATCTGTAAGACAAAGAGAAAAAGAACCAAAAGCATGGTAAGTCTTAGGTCTTGGCTATTACATGATGTCAAGTCTAGAGAGGTTTTCAAACAGTCCTAAAAATCACTTCAAATGAATATGTAAATAAGCAATAAGGAGCCCGGATCTGAGGATTTCACACTGCAGCTGCCAGGCTGAGTTCAAGAGTTCTGCAATCAGCAATAAATGACTTTTCTTGGTTAGCAAAGTTAGAGTTATAAAAGAAATGGAAGAATTCTCTCAAGCACAGTCCCCTTGGAAATAGCAGGTGACAAAAAATTTCCTTGGTAAACATGTAAAAATTGAAAGGATTTATGTATAGTGCCTTTTGTTGGAAAGCACTTCAGTTCCCCATGAGATTTCAATTTGTTTTTTGACTACCTCTAGAGGACACCAGTGTGGGCAGAGCAGAAGAGTTTTTATTTTATTTTATTTTTTTACAATGATTGCAATATGTGGCAATCGAACCAGCTACTGAGTTTGCCTGATTGTATGATGTCAACAAATTCAATACATTATATGGTCATTATGGACATGAATAATGAATGGGACCTATTCTGGGTCTCATTCTCTCCTCCCATCACAGGAAGAATAATCATTATAGAGATAGCTGTTGGCACAAATCTTGAAAGGTAAAGTTTAAAAGCACTGAAACTTGCTGAAAATAGTTTTAGCTTTAATAGGGAAAAAGTTTACATGTCTGCATTGTGATGATCACTACTATGTTATTATCACCTCTGTTTTATGCTCTGCTTAAATGCAATTGATATGGGTGAAAATCCATTTTTGACAAAAACATAATATACTTAGATTCTCCATTTAGAATAAGACTAGGTCCCTAGAAATAATGATAACTAGCAGCACTTACATAAATGCTAACACTTTATACTCGTTAATTTGCTAATTCATACAACATCCCCGGGAGGTAAACCCATTTCATTCTATCCTATAAGCTCTGCTTTAGTGATGAAGGTTATACAGGAGATCAATGGTATGATGGGATATTGCAATGTAGAGTTACTACAAAAATGTCAGAACTGCTTTGTACAGAGGTTGAGGTTGGGACTTCCCAAGTTGCTACTGATTTCCCCCCTCAGATTATGAAGCTCAACTAACATATCCAGTCTGTTACATGACTATGAAGGAGAGAAGTTCAGAGGTTTTGCATTGGTATTTTTCTAGTCTGTGCTAGCATCTTAGGACAATTCCTGGAAGTCCTTGGTCAACACACAAAGCAAAACTCACTGGTCCCCATGACCTTGGCTTCATCAACATCACCTCATAAGTACACTGAACCAAACAGCCATAAGATTAAAGCATACCCAGAACATCATAAGGCAATAACACTCAGGGGTGAAAAAACAAGAGGCATTTTCTCTATGTGGAGAAGAATCTGAATGATGGATTATTTGGGTAACCCTTTCAAGATACCATTAAAAATCCATTATTTAGTTTGTGATATGGATCACAATTTACCTAAAAATGTGAAGATAACACTCCTGGATAAGGGGTTTATTACTTAGATGTCACTGGTTTGCATAGATTGCCTTGGGACTTCTTAGAAAACATTTTAAAATGAAATTACAATATTATGTTTCTTGTTTCACTGCTAGCATTCAAGCATTTGGCGTTAAAAGTTATCAGCTATGATAATGATGGTAGCATTCCCATAGGATTGTGCCACTTTCAAAAAATGTTCACACCCTGGTAATCCTACATACTAAAGTCAGCAGGTATCCTGCTTCACTCGGGAACTGCTACTGCCAGCCCACACCATCACTTACTATCCAGTGGGTACATGACGATCTGTAAAAAGCCATAGCATTAAATGATGGGATGTGAGGACTCATGTCAACTTGCAAATTATCAGTGCCATTTGATGTTAGAAAATAAACTTTTGAGAAAAAGCAAACTGGGGAAAGGATATTGAGCTGTTGGAAGGCAGAATAAACACTGGTCAAGACACCAGTGTGACTTCTGGCATACACAAAAGAATATTAATCTAGATTTCCTTCCTCCCTTCCCTTTTCCCTCTCTTCCATTCTCTTTCTTTCGGGGTGCCTAATCCATCCCTAAATTAATAAGATAAGTATATGAAGTAATTCTATAAAGTTTATCACTTACATTTTCAAAATGTCAACCTACACCATGTTTATGAAAACAAAACTGCCATTATAAATGGTGGCAGCAACTGCTGATCTGGAGCATTTCATTTCTTTCCAATTCTCTGTATTTATGTTAAAGCTGACTTAGGTACGAAGTATATAGTTATACTCTAGACTTGTAAGAATCAAATCATAAATATCTAGAAAACATAAACTGCATGCGTAGACAATGCACACACACACACACACACACACACATTTCCACCTGGCTTCACGTTCTAATGGATAGCAGTCTAATTGTGACAACTTTTCACTCTTGGAGTCATGTCTTCTTTGAATTGGACACTGAAAATTCAGTGAGTGAATTGTTTGAAATATGACATTTATATTTAGAGTAGTATACTTGCTCTCATAAGTTGGAATCACATTTATGATAAAGAAAATATGTTATTGCTGTCAGTGACAACAGAACAATGAGAGTGATTGGGTTTCTTGTTTGGAAAAAGGTGAAAGAAGTTGGTGACCAAGTGTAAGATTTCACAGCTCCCTCAAGAGCCAGTCTGAACCAATTCATTTTGCTAACTACTCTTATTCTCTCAACACTACTAATACCATTAGAGTTTTATACAACAAAAATAGAAGCCTTATTTCAAACACTCAGTAGTTTAAAATATATGTATTTACATGAGGAGACACAGAGGACTTCGTTAATAAGTAGTGGTATCCCTTTCTAGTCCTCCTGTTATATTTTTGGAAATCAAAGAGAGGAAGACAGCGGAGGAGATATTTGTCTATGCTTGTGCATTTGTTGAGTATACTGTGCAATGAGACAGGACAATGATGCGTTGCATTGGAGAAGGTGGACACATGATTTGTCATTTGTTTTCTGCTTCATTTGTTTAAAATTTTAAATAAAAGCACATTATATGGAATAAGAAAATCTGTAGGGCCAAATATATCTCCATCGTCTAAGAATTTACTGGAAGATTCCACTGGTTTATGAGCATGAGGATTAATGGAACAATAATCCTGAGATGGCAACCCCAAAATGCGCCTTCCAAATCCACCAGAGACAATAAAGGTACCCTAACAGATTCTCTTTGGTCATCAAAGACTTGTCATTGACATATGCCTCATGCATAGGTGAACAGATTCTGAGACTGACCTGGTCAAAGAATGAAGATGAACAGAAGAACACAGTTATATGAATATGTGTAACCTATGGAGCAGAGGAGGCCAAAACCAAAGACAATATTCTAATAATCCATAAAAGAGAATATAAATACTGTACATGGCCCAGCTGAAACATGGTTGTGCAACTTCTGAATATCAGGATAACCAGGTCAAACAAATGTCAAGGCTTTCCCAACGGCCATCAGAGCAAAAAGCTTTGTGCCGTTTCTAAGCATATATTGACCTGGCACACATCTCAAAACCTTTACAAGTTTTACAGTGAATGGATTAATCCCCTTTTTGTACTGTTCTAGAATTCATTCATGCAATTATTTATTCAACTATGTACAGAGCATATCATCCACGATATTCTGGAATGTCACTAAGGATTAGATCCATACCTGAATGCATATCATTCATTTTCTTCTCACTAAAAACTCTTTCAAGTGAAATAACTGAGGAATTAGTACAACTTAGAAAAAGTTTAAACAACACAAAACGAGATAATGTAGAAAAGACTCAAGCCTACAGTGCGTAACCTGGGAATGTGTGATTAGACCTCTAACAAAGTGAGTATATGCCAAGGCATAGGCTGTATCTTGCATACGACCTAAAGAAATCAGGCTGAGATTGAAAAAAAATTGTTTATAAAATGGCTAAATTCCTGGCAAGGCTAGGTATCCCTGTCTATGCAAGGGCTATTTTTTTCCTGGTGTTTCATGGACATGTAGCTGAATCAATGCTGACCTAACAGAATACTGTATATTCCTCCATCATATCAGGGTAACATTATAACAAGTATATGCCAAGTATGTACTGCATAATGTGTTACAAGATAACGCTTCTTAATTCACCTAGTTGCCTAGAAAACATAGTAAAGGAAACCTTCTGTGATTTAGGGTGAGCTTTGTTTTTGCCAAAGCTTTTCAAAAGTCATGGCGGGACAAATTACTATCAATGGGTAGGCATTGTTTCTAGTAAACAGCAAACAACCAACCATCTATGTCTATACAGCTTAGGATACAGAAAACAAAAAAACTATATTGCTTCCAGAAATGTCTATTGAGTATATATTTACACCCTAAGCAGTATTAAAAGGTCATTTATTTTAGGCTGTTATACTAAAATCACCTCAGGTTTTTTCTCCTCTGCATCCAAAACTGCTTGACTTATATTTTCTCTTTGATTTTAGGGATTTTGTGTTGGATACAATTTCTCACTCACTAGAAATGGCTGGAAGGTAGTAGCCAAATTAGGGTTGGGACTAATCTCATAGTTGGTCACATGTTCTCTTTAGTTGACAGATTGTCTCCTTTACTAGAATGCTATCTTTTAAAAAATGATATGAGCTCACTATATACATGAAATTTGGTATTCTACTTTTTCATTTAATATTTTATTGCAGAATTTTTCCATGTCAGTAAACTTTGGAAAATGATATTGAAAACATGACTTTTAAGGGCCACTTAATCTCTTTTTATATTGTATAAATACTGTATATCACCAATGTAGTTAACCATTTTTCTACTGCAGGACATATAAGTTGCTCCCAATATTTTGCTATTATAAACAGCATAGCAATGGATAGCTTTATAGTTACAAACACACCCCCCCCCCACACACACACATGCCATGTGTAGAAATGGCATTGTGAAGGTATGTAAAATTAAGTTCAAATTATATTCTAGAATATTTAAATTAAATTAAACCCAATTGCCAGTGTACAGATATGTCTGTCTTACTTTATTGTTGTGTGCTAATATTTTTAAAATATGCTAAATAAAAGTTAAAAATGACATATAATTGATTCTTTTTGCATTTGTTTAAATACTAGCGAGTGGAACTTTTCATACATTTTCTTAAAAACTTAACAGAACCTACTTTGCTGTCTTCTGATCAGTTTTTGTGACAGCTGGCCACTTTTCTCTTAGAAGTACGGTAGAGTCCAGCACTATCCACAAGAGCACCAACAACTATACATTGACTTTTTATAATACATTTAATCTAATTGTTTTGGCCTTGTCAAAAATTTGAATAACTGCAATTAAGTGTAGAGTTTTGTTGGCTATTGGGAAAGTCTAGAACTTCTAGTTTATAGGCCTTATTTTCTCGTCTATTTCATATTTTTTATAATGTAGGTTTTTACTAAATACCATAGATATTTTGCTATATTGAACTGTTTTATTCCAGTGGAATTGTATACACAGGGTGCTGTGCAAAAATGTATATCTAAAAGCAATCCATTACCTCCACTTAACAATTAAATCATTCTAGCCCTATTTTATCTCAATGACATTGTAATGATTTTAAACTAGAATCAGGGCCATGTTGTGTAATCTACATCCTTCATTACATGCAAATAAATCCATGCAAAAGAAACAGAAACTCAGATTACTGTAGAAGTTCAAGCCGGCAGAAGAGAGGAAAGTTATTTTAATGATGATGGTATTGGAAAGCAATAATGTTCAAATAGTTCAGAGGCTAGTGTGACTATAGATACACAACTCCCATTAACTGTAATTGGAGTTAAGTCCATATAATGATAACAAAATAGACCCCTAAATACCTTTCCAATTGAAAAATAAGCAAATGTGCTCAGGAAACAGTGCTCTTTTGTATGGAAAATACAGTATCCTAGTTGAGATGCAGAAATTATTTTCACATTGATATTGCTGAGGGTATGATACTGGTATTTTTCCTAGGCTTAGGGATGTATGTATACTTGCTAGAAGTAACATCTGTACAAAGAATGCCTTTTATTTTGTTAACACTCAACATTCATTATGTTATTAAAGGAAAATCTCTATAGTTTTAATGTATTTATTAATTCAGTAGCTTGTTATCAGCATGAAACTTGGCTGTGCTAAGGGAACCACACATTATATTTTACAAAACTGCCAGTAGTGAGATGAAAATCACCATTCTGTATTTCACTTTGTTCTTATCCTCCCTGCCAGGTAGTAAATCTACTCTATATCTTTATTATCAACCTAATATTTTGCAACTTATCAATTCTTGTAATAATATAAAGGTACATGATCAAAGAAACTTGATTATAGTAACTTCAGAAAGATTGAAATACATGATACAAGTTAAATCACATAGCACAATAATAACTATTTCAAGGCATTAAAACCTTAATCCATATTAAACTACAAATATAGCAAAAATGCAAAACTTACTTATACCTATCAGAATGTATTTTCATAACATGTAAAGCCAACCTCTTAGGATTTTAAATGAGTATCATTTACAAATTGAAATCTTGAGTATTTCCATGGATTTTAGAAAAATACAGTGCATCGCTTCTCGGCCTTTTGGCTAAGATCAAGTGTAGAAAAATAGAGGGCAGAAAAAAATCCGTGTATTGTTCAGTAGTCCAACTGCCACAGAACTTGTTATTGAGTCTCTTTAGAATCAACATCAAAGCCAATGCGTAGATTTTTCTTAATGTCCTTGGCTTTGTACATTAGCCATGCATTATACTCGCTTCTTTACAGACAATGTGAGTGGGTCCTAAAAGAAAATTTCTATGAGGTTGAAAGTTTGATGAGAATACCTGCATATCTGGAAAATACAGAAAATAAAAAATAAAAAAGATGATAAATGTGAGAATATAGAGGGAAAAACTCCGGAGGAAATTATATTATTGAAACACGCTGAAGAGTGAACCAAACGGTCTGTGCTGGGTACTATAACAGTATCCTTATGCACTGAGTAGAAAGGACAAATATACCAAAAACTGTAACAGGAAACCATATGACTCTTCTAGCATCTAACACATCCTAAGTACATTAGAGGTTCGGGGTACAAAAAATTCCTATTAAGTCCAGGAATTAGGGGTTAAGGAAAACCTCATCCCAATTAGGCCTTCAAAAATAGGCTTTCAACAAGAAAAAACAGAAAGATAGCTATTAATTTTAGATTAGTAGAAAAAGTGAGTTTTAGTTCTTTGTATTGCTGACCATTCAACTGAATTATTTTTTCCTATGAGGAGGGCATGGGAGCATGAAAAGCAACGAATGCATAAAGAGGTGATTTTAATTTTAATTCTACTTTAAAAATAACCTTGAAGCATTTACATAGAAGAAAGCAGTTCTGCTTTTTTTTTTTTTTTTTTTTTTT